AAAAAGGAGCAGTATCTCATATCTACGGCACATCCATATAGTGAATAAAGACGGACAAGAGTTAAGTACAGTTGCTCCACTGCCCATGCTTCCAGCAGGTACCAGCTTAAAGCTATGATTCTAACACAGGGTCAGAAACAGAATGTATTAGTGCAGGACTGCGCCAGATCTAATGGACTACAGAATTTTCAGACAAGAGCCATTTCATCTTGGCATGTAAGACTGATAGTATTTGAACAGGTCTAGCATAAGCAAGCAAGCACCAAACACCACCACAAAATGAAGATTTTGAGAAGCTCACTACAGTGACAGACGGATGTTGTTTGGCAGCCTGTGCAGAAAAGACTAAATTGATAAATTATTTTAATATTGACTTACTCTATCATTTAAAAACATAATCCTCTACTTTATACAGGTCTAGATGATACTTGCATTTTACAATGATGTCTTTGATGTACCACTAAAATCCATCAAGCTGGAAAGAATATCAGTGAGATCACCCACCCAAAGGAAGTGTTATGTAAGCTTATTAATTTGTTCCTTCCATTTGAGAAAGCATAGAGACTATATGTTATTATCGCTATTCTTTTTAAGCTAAAGAGATTTTTCACTCCCCTGAGATTCTTATCTTCTAAGGAAACTTGTTTCTCAAGATCTCTTCTCCAGATTTATACTCATGTTATTATAACACAAAGAACAGAAAATTCTGAAAAACTGTGGTGAAGTGCTAAGGCTTGGACAACCAGCCCAAGCCAGAGTTGACCTATAGATGAATCCTGTGTATTTTATAACTGAAAACCATTGTGATAGTAGGTATTGTACTAAGTTATAACAACCCACTTATGCTGATGTAAAAAGTGATAAAGCATTGAAATACTGAAGCCTGAACAACAGGCCCCAAGCCGAAGCTGCTAACTTAGTCTGTAATCATTAACAAAGTATGTAAGCTCACTAGTGAAAGATGCAGCTTAGACAAAATATAATGAGTAGTGAGGAGAGAGTGTATCCAACTTCCCTGGTTTAGCCTTGTTCAAGGCTGAGAACCCAAGTATCTGGCCTTGGTAGAAACTCCCTTGGTTCTCCCCCTAAGCCCTGGCCAGGCTTTGGGTGGAATCCAACAGGAGAATGAAACCAGAAATTTTCCACTCAAAACAAAGGTGCCAGCTATTCTGGCCTGTCGATCTCTGGTATATAAGTCTGGGCCCGTTTGCAGTGACTTTGGCAGCCTCACCTATGGGGGACGCACGGCGTAGGATTTCCCCCTTGCCGGGACAGGCTCTGCAAACCCTCGCTGTAACCAGGGCTGCCCAGCCACTGCGAGGCTGGATGATGGGAACATGTGCAAGTGGTGATGTGTCTGTCTTAATCACTATTCTCTCTCTTGTGCAGTAATGATTTGATGCATTACCCTGTATTTTCCTATTTGTTGCTTTAAGTGCACTATTCCGCTTTTTCTTACTGCATGTTTCTGTATTACGCTGTTACATTACTTGGTTATCACTAGTAAAATATGTCTACTCTCTTCACTTTGTTTTCTGAGTTTAATTGGTATCCTTAATCAGCAAAACACCTGGAAAGTCCCAGCATGTGTGCTGGGTTGACCTTGGCTGGCTACCAGGAACCCCCCAGACACTCTCTAAATCCCCCTCCTCAACAGGACAGGGGAGAGAATAAGGAGGGAAAGCTCATGAGCTGAGAAAAAGAGGGAGATCACTTAGTTACCATCATGAGCAAAACAGACTCAACTTGAGTAAGATTAATTTATTACCAGTAAAAATAAGGTAGAATGGTGAGAAACAAAGGCTAAAACACCTTTCTCCCCCAACTCCTTTTTCCTAGGCTCAACTTCACATAACAGCTCCTCTTTCTCTCCTGCTTCGTCCTTCTCACACTTTTTTTTCTCCTCCAGAGTAGGTCCTTCCATGGGCTGCAGTCTCTTGGGATAACCCTGCTCAAGTGTGAGTCCTTCACAGGTTGCAGTGTACATCAATCTGTTCATCCCAGGTTTCTTCCCCAGACTGCAGGGGAATCTCTGCTCCAGGACCTGGTGCACCTCCTCCCCTCTGGCTACTCCATCCTGGGTGTCACAGAGCTGTTTCTCACACATTCTTTACTTACTCATCACTGCCATGCAGTGTTTTGCTCTTTGTCAACTTTGTTTTCCCAGGGCTGCCACTATCTTGGCCGAGGGGCTCAGCTGTGCCCTGCCGTGGGTCGGTCAGAGCTGGCTGGAAGCAGCTGTGTCCAGCACAGGGCAGCCCCCGCCTCTGCCCACAGAGGCTGCCCAGCAGTCTCCCTGTTACCAACACCTGGGTACCTGCACCCTGTACAGCTTGCTTTCCCATTTTCAATCTATTTTTATGTCTGGCAGCCCCAAATCCTTCTCCTTAAACCCCCAGCAACCGAGCACACCCATTCACTACTATCTGGGAATCCATGGCCAACATTTGAAGAACTCCCTCGGGAGTCTTTCTTTGTATTATTTTTTTTTAAATATTAAGTATTACTTAAGTATTAACTGTAGCCAAATCACACAACAGTTTCATAAATATTCAGCTCTAGGGGCTGAATAATTTTTATTACTATTACTTCTAAGCTAGCATTATAACGGGATTTGCTATACACACAGCAAACACTTAATTCAGTATTTTATGAATCTCTGCATTTCTAATTAGATGCCAGAACACTTTTCTGTTTCCAATCTAAATGCATTGAGTTCCTGCATATACTTTCACTTACCATTATTCGTCATTTACATCTAGGAATATCATGCTGTAACATTCATAATGTAAACCAATTGGAATTTGTACTTCTCCACATTTACTGGGCTACAGCATTATCAAAATAACAATTATGTTCTGAAAAAAAGTGACATCCAACTTTTCTACAGCTTTCTCCAACAAATACCATTTGCTTTTTCGTATATAAAACAATAAAAACAATATTTCATCCTAAAGATTTGCAATTTCTTCTTTAGCAAAATAACTTTAGTGTATCAATGACTGTGCAGAATATGATAATATTCATTTTAATTTAGTCCCAACTGGAAAAAAACACACACACTATAAAAACAGATGGACCGTTACTGGCTCAGTTCCCAACTTAATGACTACATCTATTTTTAAATGTTAACACTTAAATTACATTATCCCATATTCTTCAGACTTACTTTTTTTTTTTTTTTTTTTTTTTTTTTTTTAATGTTTCAGAGGTTTTTTGGGAAACACTACTGCCTTGTCAACACTGAGTAAGAACGTAGAGCAGAAAGGTTTTCTAGGAGCAAGCCTAGTCCCTGCTATAATAAACACTAGTGGGAATACATTTCAACAACCAACTGTATGGGAAGCATAGAACTGTGCTCCTGGCAGACACCAGGGCACTGAGACCTACCGCTGCAAATACGTTGCTTCTTCTGCTGGCACAGTCAACAGGATGGAAAAATGCTGTTCAACTCCCCAAAGCTATTCATCAGCTTATGGACCCAGCTAATCTTGAAAAAAATCCTGAAAAATTCTACGTTGCCGTGCATAACTTAACTATGCCTGCTGTGTGGGCCAGTGGCTGCCTTTAGTACAGCTGACAGTGTACAACAGCGCAGACAGTAGCACACGCACATCTTGTAGCTAAAGTATGTTCTGACACTTGTCCACAGAAAAAACAAGTACAGTGAAGCCACACTTCAGCTACAAGTGAGACCAAAAACTTCCTGTCAATAGGGTCTTTAATACCAGTGTATCTGTTTAGCTAGAATACTACTACATGCACCAGATAGAAGTAATTAAGCATGCCCACAATACAGATTATATCAGCATAGTTCAGTCGAACATACTGAAACTAACATACACACATTTGCACAGACCTCCCAGATGTTCCTCCCTCTCATACACTCTAAACTGATCCAAACAAATGCTGAAGATTGCTTGGTCCTCAAAAAAGTGAAGTCATTAGTTGAACCTTATCTGGACTTGGAACCTTTTTTTGGGTGTGGCAGCTTGTTTGCACACCATTCAGCTATTTCACTTATGTTTCAAGCTACCTAACTGTAAGCAAGTTTCATTCTGGAAGCCATGGTACTCCAGGTATAGCACTGTGCTCTCACGAAGGCATTTACTGCCTTGAGCCCATCACCACCTGACTGCTTCTGCAGTTCTTGAGCAAGTGAGAACACAGAAATCTGTTCGCCAAAGGTTTTGCAGACAAGAACTAAATCTTGGTTCTGATTTAATATTCACTTCTTAAATTTCTAGATTCAGAAGCCAAATTCATGGCTATTAACATTATCCAAGAAACCTGCATGCATAATTAAGACCATAAAAATCAACAGCCACCATCATAATCTATTCTTATTTGTTCGATTACAAATACATTTAGAAGGAAAAATTCCAGCTTTAAAATGCACAATAGATTTATAATATGCAGAAAATACTTCGATTAACTCTGAATCCAATGAGAAATTCTACTAAATTGAATTCAGCAGGGATATCACCTAGCTATTTACTTAGAGAGCACCTAGTGAAATGGTACAATCTTCTAGAAAAACTAGAACAATCAGTAAGTGTTCACCTCAGAGAGAAAAAATGATTCAGTCATTGCACAGCTTCTACAAGTAACAAATATGCTGGCACCACATTTATGGCATTACACTTATTGTCAAAATCTAAAGGAAAAATTGTGTGTACTTACACAACAATCCTTTCCCACAAGGACAGGTGCAGGGCTGCTGTACTTTTTTTTTTTTTTTTAGTACAGGTCTTTTTCCCTGTTTTGTACTGGTAGCATTAGCTTGATAAATACTTTCTTCGCTTACTATGTCCACCATCCTGCTTAAACCAACTCCGATATCCCTAACCTATTTGTTCTGTTTCCTTGAGAGAACCATTGTTAAAGGTGAGACCCATTGTCAAAGGATAACCTGATTTTGTTATTCTGGTTGATTTTTAACATACTAAGAACAGTTCTGCTTGGGGGGAGACTTTAAATCTCTTGAATATAGTACATACCAGTTCCTTTGCTTACATATGGAGGTTTGAAGAATTTCACAATGCCGTACAAATTCACTATAGTTCCATCTTTAAGATGATTCAGAGAAGTATACGCATATTTTGGTGCAACAGACTGGAAATGCATGATAAAATTAGGGAACAGAAGAAAAAATTATTCAAACACTCACAGAGAACTTTGTATTTAACATCATCTATGCTCAGATATGCTTTATTTCATCTTAAAAAGTTATCCATTTCTTTCTATCTTATTTACTTTAGACTCTCTAAAGATAAATATATGTATATATTCACAGGCAATAAAGCACACAAGACTTATTTTAATTTATTTTTATGATTGCATCTTCCTTACAATAAACTAACCCGTCAGTTCAAGTAAGTTTCAATACATGAAACAGGTGAATAGAAGTCATCATAATAAAGAATGAAAGTAATTTTTTCTGATTGATTTTAACATGTCCATTCATCTTTTTAAAGCACATACATAAATAATTTTGTAATTCTTATTAGCAGTGCCACTTCACAGAACCACTGTCTTGGGATGGGGCGGTGGGGGAAGGGGAATTTACCTCTCACAGCCATTTTGTAAGTCTTCCTATTAGAATAGCACACTTGGAAGATTTAAGAAATTAAGCACTACCTTCTACTGTGTAAGGACTACTCTCCTCTGATCTTACTATGGTTATATTATACGCTGATTAGTATCTTTTAAAGAATTCTAGTCCTGCCAAGCTGACTGAAAACTGTGGCTTTCAATTCTTACATTGGGGGAGAGAAAAATAAACTCTTCATAAATTTCAGACAAAACCAAGCTATATCATCTTCAGTATTAAATCTTTAACCTTATGATAAAGAACAATAAAATTTCATACACTAATTTCTATGCCTTTAATATACCGTTTCCTGAGGGGAATTTTTCGGAGCTAACTGTAATATTCCCTCCTTATCTTTGGAATCCTAATGCATATGTAACATTTCAAACAATAAAAGGAGCTGTTTTTTTGGCTCCCAGCGCGCACATTTGTGGCGGAGCGATCCCCTGTGTGCCCGACGTCATAATAAACATACTACTTTATAACTCTTAGTGAGTTGTAGAGTTTGGTTCCGCGCTTCACTGAAGAGTTTTAATTTAGACACATAAAGGCTTGTTCCAAACAGTAATCAAAAGAAATGTTAAGACCAGTACATGAAGTCTGTTTTTAAATTAAAGGAAGATTCACATTTCCATTTTTTTAAAACACAAGCATACGATCCTCTTCAGAATGGTAGTTAATTTCTACTTCATATTTCCTAAACTAACATGCAGCTCATTTTGAGATCGAGATGGGAACAATACTACAAGTATAGAAAAAAGTATTATTTTTTCATATTTTATTCTGTTTTCCAGGCATACTGTTTACAAAATTAAAAGCTAAGCAAAGGACTAATGTGGGTATGGAAGTAAAATAAACAAAAGTAATCCATAAATTCTTATTTACATTCAGTTAGTCTCACGCAGTTTAAAAACATCCCAAATATAAACTCACCATAGATGCAGTTTCTGAAGCAGCAGTTGTTCTTGGTTTAGTATAAATCTGAGGAGAGAAAAACAGCAAACTCTCTGATTACAAAATTGAAGGCATTCCAAATATAACATCTGAAAACTAAAGAAAATGTAACACTAACAGCAAATACCAAACAGTGCTATAGACACTATATGAATCACCTCTAAAACTAGTAAAATTTTATCCTACAGAGAAAAAGAAAATATTTACCCCCAACTACACTCAGCCAAAAGTTAAACACATACATTTTCTAAAGTAGGAATGTACTTAGTTGAAGGTCACATTAGTAGAGTCAGCATTTGAGAGTCAGTGACCAAGAATTTAAATCTGTACTTGCTTAACAGAGAAACAGGTTTAGGTTTTGTACATGTCAATGCTTAGAGCAGATCTACATTCAGTGACTCATTACTCTCCTTTGGGGCAAAAAATATTTTCAATAAAAGGACAAGGCAAATTCAGCAGAATGGAATAAATTCTATTTAAAGGTCCTAAGCTTTTAGAGCCATACTTACAATCCAGATTTATTTTCACTCTAAGGTCTTTTAAAGAACTAACTGTGGTTGATTTGACATAATGCAAACATATACCCACCCTATGAGAAACACAGGGCTCAGCTGCCATCCTAATACAACACCACAGCCCGTTTGACACAGGGTCCCATGTCACAGCGGCACATTGCTTCAGAAGTGCTGACTCCTGCTAGGGAACTGATTGTGGTATCCACCCTCAAATGCATTCCTGAAGCTAGTTTTACTTCCACTTGTTTATTTTAAATAGTTGAGTGAACAGTTATCATTGAGAAAGCAAAGCACACAAGAAATTCAGACCATTTGTATTACTTTTAAGCATTCAATGAGCACGTCAGTAAATTAAGTGCCACAAGCTCCGTTCTGTGGTCAGTGATGAGACAGACGCCTCAGCAGAACCTAGACATTCAGCGAGCTGCACATCTTCCTTGGGATTGGATCATATATTGATCATACTGAACCCTCTAACTTGTCTGCCTTATTGCACTGTTTTATGCATGAGAATGGTTTAAACAGCTCTAGGAATCTCGCTAAAACCAACTAAAGTAAATTTTCTGCACTCAACAAGTAGAAATTCACCTGGGAGGCCTGAGATAATTTGGGCCTTGAATGGTGAGCATTGTTATAAAACTGTATGTACACACACACACACACACACACACACACAAATGTGTCCTGATTGTTTCCTGATAAATATGCTAAAATAATCTGCAACAGATTCTAATAGATTTTATTGGTTTTTCTAATGTAAAGCAAAATATTAATGTTGGTATTTGGAGAAGAAAAAAAAAAGTTGGGTACCCACGTACATAAACGGCTGATCCAGCTTCTTCAGACACCTCCAGATGGTAACCATGTCTACCATCTTCTCCCGCTGTAGGCGATTTTGCCAACTTAAATCCTGTAACTATGAAGGTGTCCTGTGGGGACAGGATGATAAACAAATGATTACAGAGGTTGTATCACATTATTGTATTTTAAGAGTATGTGATGTGAAATTTCACCCTAAAATCTAAAGACATTCAAGAAACTAAAGACCTGAAGAAATTCTGAGCACTGCTTTTAAGTTTCTCTGTTTAGCTCTTCTACCCATGGAATTCATATTTTCAACCAATGCCAAACTTTTTTTTTTTCCCCAAAAAAAATCTTCTAAAATTGTTCCACTCTTGATGCTACTGACTGCTGTGACTACTGTGACTGACTGCTAATTTTGATAAAGGCTAGAGAAGAGTCACACTGAAAAAAGCAAAATAATAATTTCCCTTCAAATATACTGAAGACTAACCCTTTTCTTGGTAAGCTTAACTAACCTAGAAAAGGAATCACACATGAGATAAGCACTGACAAAACACTCTTTTCTCAGAGCTTATTTCTTATTGGGTTACAGCTGCACTTTGAAGACTCTCCTTGTAGATATTTTCTGTTTTGGTTGGACTGACATCTTCAATTCCTTCCTTGAGTCAAATAGGTAGGTCAATCAATAGGTAAGTTTCTGGTAGCAAAGGAGACATTACAAACTTCTCTGGCATAACTCCTGAGATTTTAGCATTGCATTTGCAACTGCACTTTCGCTTTGGTATAAAGTTCCTCAGACACCACAAAGTTAACATGAAAAGGATGATTCAAGGGGTACATGACTTAAGTCCCTGCAGCAGCTCACCTCTGAGTAGCAACTTCTCACACACACACACACACAAAAAAAAAAAAAAAAAAGGGGGGAGAAGACTGAAAATACATTTTAGGAGATAATGATGATAAGAAAGGTATCTGACCAAAGATAATGCTGAGAACTCTAACAAAATGTAAGACTCCTTTACAGACAGCTCCTTTGGTACCAGCACTGTATAACAGGGGTGTACCAGTGTGATCCATTCCAATAAACATGCCAGACACAGAACCCTATTTCTGTTCGACCTTCTACCAAAAGCACTTCAGTAAACTTCTACTGGATGACTTTTGTTTATGTGTTCATTTGATTACAACAAATAAAAGAGTTTTCTGATTAAAGTTGACAGTTTCAGCCAAACATTGCACTATGATGGCTCTTTTTTGCTACTTCAGCAATCTGACCATGCTACTCTAAATTATTTAAGATCCAAAACCTTAATGTTTTGTGCCAGAAAAAGAAAGGCTACTAGCTGAAGTGACAGTGATATATTCATTTATTAAAGGATTTGCCAAAAAAAAAAAAAAAATTACTGCAGAAAAATTAAGTTTGATCACACAGTTTAATACAAAAACTACTTAGGGCATGGTAGTTTTCAGGTAGTATCATAAATGGGAATACATTGTATATCCTGACTAAATGATAATATGTAAATCAGCTAAGTGGAAGCCATACTCAGACCAAAGTAAGTTAAAATGGGACAAAATAATTACACAACTCAATATTCCTTGCACCTGGAACACATCACCCTGCTAACATACATTAGAGTTGTTTCATTCTTTCCAGATGCATACACACATAAGCTCCAGGAAAGCTTTCAGAAAGCAGGTGATAGCATGTGTCTTTCCTTCACTGTTGCTGATACTACTCATGGTGTTCCTTCAACAGTAGAATCAACCTTTCGATAAAAATCTATGTCCTGTTATACATTATTCCTACTTCAGCTTTTTATTAGATTGCAGGCTGCACAAGAGTCTGGGACCTGGTTGCTGAGTCAGGATTGGAGATCTGTACAGCTGACCTGACTTGTCTTGTTCTCCCGTGTCAGAAGAAACTTTAGAATTACACACTCAAGCCTTTACACAGGTTAATAAATGGAAACTTTTTTTTGTGAATATTAGATCACTGGTGACAACTCATGTAATATACAATGCGTAACATTCAAAAGACTTGTGAAAAGACTCTGCAATTTCAATGAGGAAAAGATAGCACTAACCTCAATCTAGTTTTACAGGTAGAAAGAACAAGTATATTCTCAGATTTGTTACAAATTCACGGTCAACCTTAGCAGGTAGTTATATATACAAAATATTTATATCAGGTTTTCACAGTGCTTTGAAATTTAATGCTATATTAGTTTTCAAAATAGATTAGTTTCCATTTCACCTTTAGCTAAGAGTAGTTATTAGAAGTTCTCTTATAATTGGTTTGGGAATCAAATCCATTTACATAAATTGGTGGATTTTCATGTCAACAGAAGAGTATTACATTGCATATATATTAAAACTTAAGTCAACAAACATTTTTAAATATCAAAAAAATATCCTATTCCCCTCATTCAAAAGAAGTAAGAAATAAACAAAAGACAATATCTTCCCTGATGTTTATTCTGTTACAGAACTGGAAGACTCTCAGGAGTTAAGAACAACAGTTATTTACATTTTTGAGAATAGCCTGCTCCTCCCCGCTTCCCCCAGGTTAATTAGCTAAAGCTGTTACAGTATGGGAGGTACAACATGGAAATCTACAAAACTGTGAAGTTTGAAATTGTAAGCAGCAAAGAAAATGTACTGGACCTTACTGAAGTAATTGTTTAATGGCTAAAACTGTGGGGTTTTTTCAAATTAAATTTCGTAACTGCTAAATTGCAACTCTGCTAGTTTCAGAAATCACTGTGTTCCCTCAGATTCAGATTATTCCAAAGTTAAAATCTGGAGACATGTGCAAAGTACCATGAAGGTTCAGTACACTAGGGAAAGATTGAACATTTTTTTACAGCACTCTGGCTGTCTAAGGGTTGTTAAGGGTTGTTGCCTGTGGGTTGTGGTTTCCTACTCAGCTCCTTGCTACTGATCTTTACATCTTCCAATTGCTGCTCAGGGCCTTGTTCAAGATTTGTATTTTTATCAGGACAACAAAACTGATTTGTTCTTTAAATTTAAAATTATTCTGCCACTTGTATACTTAGCAAATTAGCTCAGGAATTTCCCATCCTGGAATCACTGCCAAAATTCTGTGGAATCAAGACATTTGTATAAAGACTGTCACTTCTTCATTTATATGTATCTGATGGTTGTAAAAGATTTTTCTACCCTAAACAGGCTGAACTAATTTTGCTGATCTTCAAGGCATGTCTCTCTCTTTAGCACAGCATTTGACAAACAGTAAAACAAGACTTTCATATACAACAGTCCAATGTAAAAAGCAAGCACCTTCTACTGAAAAACGTTTCTTAGATTCAGTGATCTCTTCAAAAAGTTTTAACCCATTCAGTTCATGACACAAGCTTGACTGATGATAGAAGCCATATGCTAAATGATGCCAGAACAAAATCCTCAAAGTACAAGGAATCACACTGGTAAGAAAGACTTCTGAAGCATTTTACAAATTCATTAAAAAGGCAGTAAGTATTTTGAATATTTAATATTAATTGCTAATATTATTTATGATTGTTAATATTAATCTAGTATTTAATAAATCAAAGTATGTGACTGGAAATGAGTGACAAAGAGAAGGGTCTATATATGGCATCATCTTTCATTTCCATGGGAAGTTTTCACCTATACATGATCCTGCTTTTTTTTTTTTTTTTTTTTTTTTTTTTTTTTTTTTTTTCAAATGCTGCACTAGGTCACAACTATAAATTCAAATAAATTTCTTCAACTACTCACTAAACATTTATAAAACTGGTATTTTTTCTTAGCCTTGCTTTTTATAGAGATAAATTTCACTGTTATTTTTGTTCACTGTTATATGTCAGTCTTTCCTATGTTCTGAAACTTCCCAATCTCTTTATGACTTCAACTAAAATTTGAAGAGTGATTAAAAATATCTCAAAACAGTTACATCTCTGTTGAAGAGAAACAATACTTTTTCTTGCACAAGATACTTTTTTTACTCATCTGAAAAGGCAGCCAATGTATGTCACCTGCTGTTTGAGGATTATCTACATGATAAAAGTAATTAAACATTCAGTTCATTCTCTCTGATCTGATAGATATTAATCAAATCCATATTACTTTATTCAGATTAACAATATTGAAAATACGACGATTCAGAAGTTTTCAGTGGCTGAATATTTAAAAGCACATATTTTGTATAAAACTAGAATATAGGTCATTATACATTATATAAATGCTTCAGCTTTAATGATAGGTGTATTTCATTATATATGGGACCAAAGCTGCTAATATCTCATGAACTGATGCATGCATCTTTGAAGATGATACAATTCAGGTCTAAGCTACTATCCAGAAACAGCAAGATCACTCTCAAAGAATACAAATAGATCTTTCCCTCTCAAAAAAATAAAGGTGGGAACCAAGATGAGCAAAAGTCATTATTTAACCTTAGGTAGAATTACATAAAAAGAACATGCATGTCTCTGAAATGAAACTGAAGTGTCCCATTAATTCAGAGCAGCTTGGACTTAAGTCGTATTTTGATGTCATTCCCCAAGGTCTGCTGTAATTTTTACCCTATTTCAAACATACAGATCACCAGAGTTCAGGTCTACAAGTCCATTTGAGCTGAAAAACCCTGACAGAATTCTAACTAAGCTATTACTATTTTCATATTTGAGCAAGCCCTTACCTTTTCTGCATAATATATTTCCAAGAACGTGAAAATAAAATCGTATTTTCTTCACTAAATAACTTGCCATTTTTTTGATTGAGAAAGACTTGTTACCAAGGCCTGTAGTGACAGGCCAAGGGCCAATGCTTTTAAACTGAAAGAGGGTATAGATCGGACATAAGGAAGAAATTCTTTATTGTGAGGGTGGTGAGACACTGGAACAAATTGTTCAGAGAAGCTGTAGATGCCTTATCAATGGAAGTGTTCAAAGTTACGTTAGATAGGGCTTCGAGCAACCTGATGTAGTGAAAGATGTCTCTGCCCATGGCAGTGGGGTTGGAACTTGATGATCTTTAAGAGGTCCTTTCCAAGCCAAACCATTCTATGATATAGTGTGATTTTATTTCGCAAATGAAAAAGCACTAACATGAGCTCATAATGTATTGTACACTGATTTTAATTTGTTATATGGCTAATATTGAAATATCAGCAAACTGACAGGCAATCTAATAAAAAAATATTGCGGTAATTGTTTTCAGCTTGTTTTCCTTCTTTAGTTACACACTGTCTTACAAACTTGTAGGATGACTTGACAGTATCCTTTACCCTAAGCAAATACAAGCTAAGAAAACCAAGCTTGTAACTCTAATAAAGCAAGACAGCAGCACCCAGCCAATAAAGAAAACCATGTACATAGTTTTGAAATTTTTTTAAAAAGCTTCTAGTAAAACTGTCTTTTAAATCAATTTAATTCTAAAATCTGTCTTATCAAATGGTAATAGACATTCAAATTATGAACATAAATGGATGACTTCTCCATAATCCATATTCATGATCCTTTACTTGCTAGGTAAACAGTACTGATGAAAAGAATTGCTTTATTTCAATATTATTGCTAGAAAAAAAAATTACATAAGTAAATACATTTTGGTTTTTTCTAGTTCATATTTATAGATTTGAATTGACTGAATAGACTATTTCTAATTTTCGTGATAGCTATACAAAGAAAAGTAGTCAACACACATCTGTGGAAAACAATTCCTAAAATAAGAAAATTTTAGACAGGCTGAGAGAGCTGGGGTTGTTTAGCCCAGAGAAGAGAAGGCTCCAGGGACACCTTACACTGGCCTTTCAGTACTTAGAAAGAGCCTACAGGAAAGACTGAGAGGGACACTTTATCAGGGAGTGTAGTAATAGGATGAGGGGTAATGGTTTTAAACTGAAAGAGGGTAGATTTAGATTTAAAAAAGAAATTCTTTACTGTGAGGGTGGTGAGTCACTGGAACAGGTTGCCCAGAGAAGCTGTGTCTGACCCCTCCCTGGCAGTGTTCAAGGCCAGGCTGGATGGGGTTTTGAGCAACCTGGTCTAGTGGAAGGTGTTCCTACCCATGGCGGGGGGGTGGGGTGGGGTTTGGAACTACATATTCTTTAAGGTCCCTTCCAACTCAAACCATTCTATGATTCTATGAAAAAATATGTATATATTTTACCCCATGGCGTATAACTCTTGCACAATCATCTGCCATTTTCCCATAGATTAAAATATTGACGCTGTCGATCCGTGAACATGAGTTATCTATATCTACAGAAAAAAAAGCAAAAGTGATTACAAACAACATACCTTCTCCAAAACAAAACAGTAATAGGAAGAGATTTCCCAAATAATAATTTTTTCCAAATGATCTACAGAGTTTAACACTTCTCATTGCAATTAATCTACAAGAAAAAAGTCCTTTCAAATAATTATACAACTGCTTTTATGTACTAACTATAGGTATATCAAGCAGAATATTCTGCATAAGAGGACCATTTAAAATGTGCACACTTTGTACATCCATGTACATTAAACAGAAATTAAAAAGATTTCCACATGGACAATTCAACGTATAGTGTTAGAGAGGAAATATTATCCAGTAGCATTTGATTTTTTTACATTAACACAGATCATACTGTAGAACAATATAAACTGGAGATATTCCAGGACATAGACATATCAATAGTCTTCCAGAAGGACTGAAGCGTAAGTTACATTGTTATTTTTAAAAAGTTTTCTACCTTTTACTGTTTCAGAAACAACCCTAATAATTTAGATGCACAAACATTTTTTGAAGCTGTGGAGAATGTGCAGAAACTCTCATCTTTCCTGAACAGCCATATAAAATTAGCAAGACTCCAGGAAGTTTTGTGTCCCTCTGTGGGAACTCTGAAGCCAGCAGGGAAACCGACTCAGGTCCCATCAACTTCATTCACCTCTTTTCTAACACCACTCACAGGCAGTATCACCAGGTAGCACCTGCACCTCCCAGCCTGCTGTTCCATCACAGTCATAGAATTTGTAGAAGCAGGAAGGCTCAAGACGAGCAAGTAACAATTCTCTAATCAATGTAAGGAAAGGAGCTGAGAAGGAATTGGAAAGAAACTGAAAGAAACTGAAAGCTCCTCCCACAGAAGACTAATGACATCCTTCTCCTTCCTTGCTGGAAGGGGAGATGAACTTTGAATTTAGAAGGGACATATTATTTTTTAGTATCATTTACTACACAATGAACAACTTAAGTCTTTCAATGTGTCAATGTATCTACTGATATTCGAATACCTGAGTAATGAGGTTAAATTCTATTTTTTAACTGCTTAGATTAAACCAGAATGAAATATAATTTTTTTTCTGCTAATCAACATACTAACTTATATTAAATGTGCATTTATATAGTATATAAAACTAGTAAGTGTGCATTTTTATTAGTCCTCCTTTAAGATCAGTTTAAAAAAACACTACTAAAGCTACTACTACTAATGCATTTCCAGGACAGCATTTGAAAAGATTCTGAAACAAGTCACTGAAATACAAAGACTGTACTGTTTCCACTAACTTAGCTGACATAAGTTTAAAATAATATATTTTTGTAGAGAATGAACACTTTTAGAGAGCATTTCAAATACAACATTTTACTGAACACTAAAAGAGCAGGTACTAGTGATGTAATAGCATGATGTCACAAAAGTGTCAAGAAGTTCAACAAAATAAATCTAAAATATATACTTAAATGTAGTACCTTGAAGAACAAGCTTGAAGAAGTCTCTCCCATCACTGAGTTTTGTTAATGGATAGTAAAGAATAACTATTCCCTAAAAAGTATAAAAAACAATAAATATTGTTAACTAAAGACTATATGCCTCCAAGTTGCTGAGACACTGACAACAGCTAAAACATCTGTAAGTTAAAAAAATGTAGAACTGAAGTGATAAGTGCAAATTACCATCTGAATTCTTAAAAAAACCCTAAAAACTGCTAAAGACAGCACTGAAGAGCAAAATTCTTAAGAAAATATTATATATCAATACTAATTAGACGCTACTGACTAGGCAAGTTTAGGCTAAACAATGGAACAGTAGTTGTGGAAATACCTTTTACTAGTTACAATAATAGCACAAAACCTGAAAGGTGGCTAAAAAGGTAGGGTGATCAAAATCTTAAAAGACACAGCAGTTTCTCAAAAAATATTGGCAAAGGATTACAACTTAAATATCAAAACAAAAATCATAGTCAAGAGATAAAAGATGTATATGAAGATAAATGGACATTTGTTGTGCTGTGTTCCCACAAATTTAAATTAAAATTTGTATTGTTCAGAGGGATGACAGAAAACAGCAAAGTTTCTGAAGAACAAAAGGGCTGAGGCACACAAGCCAGACAGAAGCATCATGGATGTTTTCTGTTGTTTCCCCCAACACACTTAAAAATCCTCCCATCCCTCCATCCTCAAAGCAAGACCTGATCCCTATTTTAGCGGGTCTAGAGTGACAGTGTGATTGTGTGCTGTGCCACAACCAAAATAACCGAACATCAGTGCATTCTAAAATTCGCTTCAAGCTCAGCCTGCAGAACCGGATTTTCCTACATATTTAATAGTGCATTAGCACCAGCTTTATCAGCTCCTTGGCTGCACTGTTTTTATGCCAAGCTTTTTTAGTCATCTACTAATCCATGTCAGCAGCAGCATGAAGTTCTCTTAACATAAGGCAGAAGTCTGAGAAAGAGTTTCTATACACCTTCTCTTTCGGAAGTCAGCTATAACACTGCATGTATGCTTTAAATCATAGTCTGGCAATAATTGTTATGCTTTCCTAATGGAAACATTTATTTTGGCAGAAACATTTTTTAATTTACAACTCGTTCTTGTCTGCTTCTAACATCCTTTGTGAACAAGAATCCCTGTTCTTCCATATCAGGGGTGCTTGCAGACATAGGTCTTAAAAGCTGGAAAGTCTATATGCCCTGCAGGTGAATGGGGACAGAAAAATACACCCTGAGGAATAAAAACCTTGTTTACTAGCAGCGTTGGTTATTCATGTTTCCATTTGTTCCTTTACAATACCTAAGGGAGGCTGGATCATTCTCAGTCAAATCACCTCCTATCACACTCTACTGCTGCCAGCTTCCAAAAAGGGCAGGTTTGCCCCTTTGTTTTACCTAATTGCACTACTCTTGGCATCTTTCTGACACCATAATGAACCAGTTAGAAGAGTAAGAGCAGCAGAGAACTACTCTCTCTCCATCAATATGGATAGTCTCCTGCCAGAATAAACTCAATCACAGGATCAGATAAGCACTAGAGCTGGAACTGGGAAGCAAAAATAGGTTTTGGATACAGAAAATCACTAGGCCAGTTCAGCTCAAAGTTTTAAAATATTTGTGCCATTTTTTTAAGTATTCAAGCCACCTAAGGTTTTCTACTGAATTAGTTGGTTTTTTTTAATTTCCTTTTTTTTTTTTTCTTCTTATAACAGATTGAAGGCAAGACTGGGATGATACTGATTTCCTGTCACTTGAGTGTCAGGGATGATTAAAAGGATTTTCAGAATCATTCACAAAAAACGTTAAACAGGTTAAAAAAGAAAATCCTCAAGAATGGACACTGCATTTTACAGAGCGTACCTATGTTCAGGATGAAAACTATATTTCTGCATTTCACTAGTATATTAGGATCTTCCAATCTGAAATATGCTTATGACTACTCTAAAATATAAATGCACACTTGGTAATGATAAAAAACCTAATCGTATCTTGATGCAGGTAGTTGCTACAGAGTCCTCTTTTCATGAAACTGGATATTGCATTGCTTCATACAAGAAAAGAAAACCGCTTGAGAAGTCATTACACTAAAATCTGATCTTTAACAGGATGGTGGTGCTTATTACTATTTTTAAACAGAAAAAAAAACAACAAACCCACTTAACCTCCCTCAATCCTTCCATTTGCAGCATAGCCTTCTACATATTAATGTGTTTTTAAACAGCTTCAGAATTTAGAAACTAAGAAAAGAAAACCTCATAACATTTAAGTCTGACAATGTAAGAGGAAGGGGCAGAACTGTGAATCAGTGAAGTCAATAGCAACATGCAACAAAGTTCAACAGGGTCATAATTTCATGTTACTTAACGGTATTCAACAGATGCACACAAGCCACCAACTGAGCTGGAATATCTCTTATAAATATACTAGGATCTATTTCAAAGGAAGACGAAATTCTTTCATTAGTAAGTTACCTGAAAGTATTTGTTGGTATGATCAAAGCCTTCTTGCAAATGTTTCAAATCCTCTTTCTGCAAATGGCTTGGTAGTGGAGTCTCAGGTTTTCCTTTAATGATCTTCAGCAGTTGAACAGGCATGGCTGCTTTATCTAAACCAAAATGATAAGACTCTTGAATTAAGAGTTACTAGAAGTTGCAGTTTACTCAGGAGTATTTATCTATTTCATAATAGGTTTAATTACGTAAGACTAAAAATCTTTAGAGGGATTGGCCTCATCTCTTAGTACCATGAATAGCAGGAAGGAACATTTCCTTAGCAATAGACAGTCATCCAAATTATTTTACAAATATTCTAAAACACTGCACATGGCAACAAATATTACTTTATATATGAATGCAAAAGGTAATGGAAACAATGTAGTATTTTATGTACAGAAATGTACATTAAAAACCAAGCAGAGACTTCGAATGACTCCTTCCTCAGCACAGGTCATGTATAGAGTCTTTATATTCAGTTGTTTCCCTATAAAATAATTTGACTGCATAAAGTGTCTGTCATTTTAATTTACAACAAACAAAAAATGCTTATGTACAGACTAAAACAAATTATTGATGTAGCAACTAAAGAATAAAGAAAATACAATTGGCATCTACAAATGCTAAACACTAAATGCACTAGAAAAAAGCTAAGAAATGTATGATTCATCTATTGTTTGTTCTCACTGTGCTAAAAGTCAATGAAATTCTTGGTGACATCACTGTTACGATATTGAGACTGGGGAAAACTAGTCTATTATAGTGGTTACACATATGCAAAATATAAGAAAGTGATCTATCAATAAGTAATTACTGCTATATTTTCTGAAGGGGTCATATTGTTCTTGGGGTATCTTGTTCTTTGTTGTACAATTTTTATTTAAAGCAGGTATCTACAGAAAAGTCAAAGCATTATCAACCTTCTGTTTTCAGTAACTTATAGCAAACTAAACAAAAAATGCTTTCTGTTTTCTAAAAACCCAGCTGGCAGTATTATAGCCCTAGACCTAATTTCAGACAAAGTTTTAGCAATTTTTAAATGACAGTGAAGAATAAAAAAAAAAAAAAAAAAAAAGTATTTCCTATACTTTTGGATGGACACAAAAACTTGGTATTCTACTTAAAAGCTTAAACTACATTTCCATTTCACTTCAGAAGTGGTTTTTCAGTGCCAGGCAGGCTGAATTCTTACAAAATTTTCACTTACAATTAAATGGAAATGAGAAGCCATTGTGAAATGGGAAGATAGGTGCAGATACTCAGCAAAATTATAGATATTCTTTAAGAAAAAAAAACACCTTAATCTCCAGAAAATTCAAAATTCTACCTTACTGTCACTCCAGTATCCAAAGATATCCGACTTCACTTAATAGTCATGACTATTTCTCTAGTTGTGAATGACCATCCTTTCTTCTTTCTCATCTTCCAGAAAACTCCCTTGTGGTATTACTCCAGTCTAACAGATATTATCAAGAATTCACATTCACTAATGAGAATCCTATAAATTAAAATAGTTTGGTTCAAGGATCTCTCAGCCAAAATGACTATTATGGAATGACTGGCTTTTATTTTTCTCCTAGCTTTCAGTTTACATACCTGTCTCTTGTCGCTTTTCCCAGACCGCACCTTTTACTTTGTCATGTACAGTAGCAAGTGAAATGTTGGGCATAGGATAATTGCATATTTAAAATTAATGTCTTAGAAGACTACTTAACCTTTCACTAGCAATATCAGCTTTTTTCCTTAACATTTAAGAGTTAAAAAGCAGTAACAGCAAAAGAACCTCTGGTTTCTTAAAACTACTGTATCTAGGCAATAAAGTAAGTATTTAAAAGCAAAATAAATCTACCAAGTCTAACAAATATCATATCACAAATAGGAAAAACATTAGTGCCTGACTTGTGGGTCTTATTTTAAATTGTAACTTAGACTTGGAAAACCAGTGCTTATCTACTCCAAAATACTCAGCAGCCCCAAGAACTCAGGACACTGAGCAGCAGGAGCATAACAAGGCCACATCGCCATGCATCTTCACTGCTTACAATATATATTCTCCTAATTTACAATATAAGTCAACAAGCAACTTGTTTCTCTCTAACTTTCCATTGTGCATGAAATAAGGAGGTCATACAACATTCAGAAGACACAGAGGATCCAGGAAACACCACTACTCAAAATGCAACAGATTTTGCGCAACAGACATAGCTTACCAAATACTGATGAATAAATTTAGAGAGCTTCACTACATGACTCAAAGGTTATTATCTAGGATATGTGCAGAAAGAATTCACGTAGGGACAGATAACTGGACAAGAGTTAGCTACAGTTACAAATTACCAACCTTCACTACAGTAATTATCCATATACAGTATCTGTGTAATCTGCCCCAATTGCAAAGTAGAATGTGTTAGCTTACACCTCAAACAAATAAATGACAAATTTAAACCTAATTACTTAAGCTTTTGAGAGTCTTTTGCCTCAGAGAAAGTAACCCAGAAGACACTACAAGATCAACAATCACCCAGAATGGACAGCAGGGCAGGGAGCTTCAACACATCATAGAACAGAAGAAAAATCTCACTCTTACTGGGGTAAAACTGAAGTATTATCTAATATCAGTTACTTGGTATGAAACAGCAGATACTAAATTCTTACAAGGGTTCACAAATTGCTAACTGGAATCTCAACACCCTTCTCCTTCATAAGAACCAACGGCCAAGGAGGCACTCACAGAGCCACTCACTCATCTTCCCACAGCAGGACAGGGGAAAGAACAGGAATAGTAAAAGCAAAAAAACCACCATAGGTTGAGATAAAGACAGTTTAGTAAGTAAAGGAAAGAGGAGGGGAAAAAAAATACCCCCAAAAAACCACAAAACAAGCGATTCAAAGGCAATCACTCACCATCTCCCAGAAGCAGACCAGTGCCCTGACATCCTCTGACCAACAGCTCCCTTAGAAGGCCTGATTAAAAAAACCCCACAGTTTTTATTGTTCAGTATGACTCTCTATGATGTAGAATGTCCTTCTGGACAATTTATGTCAGCTGTCCCAGCTGTGCCGCCTCCAAACTTCTTGTCCAACCTCAACCTACTTGCTGGGGGAAGCAGAGGGACAAAGAGAGAAAGCCCTGGTGCTGCATAAGTGCTATTCAGCTGAGACAGGGAGTCTAAACAATCTTAGATTGTTGGTGCAAGGCCTTCGCAAAAACAAGGGGAGGCCAAAAACAAGGGGAGGCGTATGGGACTGTTCGAAAAGACATACCAAGTACTGATAACGTTGCTAGGCGATTAACTCCTAGCCCAAAGAGAAGTCCCTCCTAGTCTTTGAAAAACAGACAACCCCAAAACATTGGTCTGGAAGAAAGCCAGAGAACAACTGAGGCTGCGCAGAGCAACAAGGAGAAAAGTTCATCAGCGAGGAAGAGGAGGAGACCTGATTACCATAAGAAGCGAGGGGAGGCGGGGGTAGATATGTTTATGTATAGGCGTTTTATGAATATGCACTACTTTGTAACATATAAGCCGGATGGGAGCTGCAAACGATGCGCATGCTTGTGGTGGAGCGATCCCCCATGCGCCCAGCGCTGAATAAACATACCCACTTTATAACCCCAAAAGTTATAGAGTGATTTCTCCGCAAAACATCAGCCACATCTGAAACACTGGTGTGTCAACACTGGTTTAGTCACAAATCCAGAACACAGCACCATGCACGCTGCTATGAAGACAGTTAAATCCACTCTAGACAGACCCAGTATATATATATCTAAAATATATCCAATAATATACAGTGACACCCCACAGAACGAACACATACTGGAGCAGTTCATGAATTGCAGCTTGTGGGAAGAACCCTCATCAGAGAAGTTCATGAAGGACTGTCACTCTCGTGGGTGGGACTCCATGCCAGAGCAGGGAAAGAGCATGAGGAAGAAGTGACAGAAATGATGGATTATGAACTGACCACAACCCGCATACTCCATCCGCCTGTACTGCTCAGGGGGAGGAGAAAGATTTTAGATTTGTTCTTATTTTTCATTATCCTACTCTGATTTGATCAGCAATAAATGAAATTAATTTCCCCAAGTCCAAATCTCTTTTGCCCATGATGATAATTGGTGAGTGATCTCCCTCCCATGAGCTTTTCATTGTATTTTCTCCCCCTGTTCTGTGGAGTCAGAGGAGTGACAGAGCAGCTTGGTGGGCACTTGGTGGCCAGCCACCATCAACCAACCAAAGTATACAACTGGGAGGTACAATACAAGACAGATTCCAATTTCTACTTGTGCTGAAGGAGATGCAAAAGTCTGGCGCAGAGATGCAGATGCTGTTTCATCTCTCTTGACTGCTTTAACTAGTAAAGTATTAGAATTCTTGTAAAATACTACTAAGTGATGCTAAAAATTAGGCCTTTATGTTTTGAAAGCAGGATAGCATCATCATTAGCTTATTAGGATTTCAAGCCTCTATTGAAAAGAGCAACTCCGGGTCTTACAAAGCTTTTCAGTTCAAAGTATCACTTCACACTGAGAAGCTGATCTATTCCACCTAGAAATAGTCAACTTCAAAGTTAATCAGTAATATTGATCTTCATTCAGCAACACTATAATGAGCTAGGGAAATGTACAACATAACAGAGTAACACTTTTTCTTTTTTTTTAATGTTGCTCTCTATTACTCTACTTGAGCAATTAGATAGACTTTTCTGTTTTTGTTTTTTTTTTTTCCCCACAAAGACGTCTAAAAGCAAGATGCATTTTGTTACAATTCAAACATAGCTAAAACAAAACAAAGAAAGGAACTGAAGTTTAGTAACTCATCTCTCTCCTATGACTAGTCTCAAATTCTGCAGCTCCCTTGCCTTCATTTAAAAAGAGTTTTTGCTATTTATTTCAATAAGACAAATATTCCACATGTACCTTCAAGGTTACAAAGGAAAGTTTCTAAAAAGGAGCCACATGTAGGCTGATATAATGGGACTTGCCCATATTATTTACTTACTGCATACTCCTACAATTTAGGACATTTATGTAAATAACATTCAAGTAGAAAACAAGATTTTTTCTTTTCCAGTTCTTAAACTTCTGTACTTAACACGTATTTTAACTGCTAACCACTGAAGCTCCCAGATTCTTGTTCTAAGAGCTACAAAAGTTAATTTTCAAAACCAAACTGATACAGCACTGGCTTCCCAAATCTACATGAAGCTACCTTTAGTGCTACCCTTCGTGTTCAAACTCCACTGAATAGTAACCAAGTGAAAATAAGTCTGTCAAGTGTCTTTGTTCTCAAAAAGCTGCCTTCATAACACTAACAAGGACCATTCCAACTTCAGTCTGCTGCTCAAGAAGTCTGTAAGTGGCATAAACAGAACTATTCATAAGGATGGGTGTTTAAAAAAAGAGGCTGCAAGAAAGGTATACAGCATCATGGGACACTCCTGAAGAAGGATGGATGCACAACACACACACACAGTAGAAGGAAGAATGCAGCAAGCTACAAACACCTTTTGTCTTCCAGTAGCTGAAAGTGATGAAAATATGGAGAGCAACCAAAAAGCTCAATAATTGTCAACAGCAAATAATTATTTGAAAGTATGAACACTATATGAGAACCCTTAAGTAACACCCTGAAATAAGTGAGATATATATATATATATATATTTATATATATAACTTGATTAAGCATGTAACACTGCTTATAAAAATGTAACACTGAGGATGGCTATGTGCTGCTCTGCCCTATCCTGGATTTTCTGCCTACTAATTTTCTAGACCTTAAATTTTTGACAGTGGAACAATCCACAACACACTAGTTCCGTCCTAATTGCCTACAGAATATTAACATCTATTTCAAAAGCATAAAAACCATCTTAAATAGTACACTAGAAAACAACTGCCTAGTAGAAATGGCTCTGAGCAAGGGTTAACCTTCAACAAAAATAAGCAGCCACTTCGTTTTTATTCTGGCATGAGGACATTATTCCACCAAAATATTTCAGTCACAGAATGCCTCTATCTCTAGGTCCAGAAGTATGAGAAAAATTCCTATAATACATCCGAAGGACTTTACCTTACCCTTCTCGCTTGCAGCTTGAGAGTTTTAAGCATCTACAGACCTGAACTAGGTAGCTAGGTATGGTCTGGGGTGCATGCACAAGAAACAAGCTTTCAGGCTCCTAGTCTTTTCAGCAGTTCACACAGAAAGCAAAAGCATCAGCATTTCCTTCATGTGCAGCACACCTCAGATACAAGCTCTGAGCGCCTGGTAACTTCAGGGTTTAACACAAAGTACACACCCCAAGGCTTATGCACTTGCAGAATCAGACAGCAGCTCTACAAGAGGTTTAACGACTGTAATTTCTGAGCTTTACACTGCAAAATAGGGTGGTAGGAAGAATCTGATATCTTTTTGTGAAAGCCTTACACCTTTTTTCCCTAGACTTTTAAAACTTTGATTTAAAAAAAAAATAATAATCTTAAATTATGTTTGTAAAACCACCAGAATTTAAACTCTCAGTTTAATTATATCACCCTTAAATGCACACTGAAAATCATTAAGGAACCACAGTTTATTAATCTTGCAGTTGCAAGTGAAGTTAACAACACACAGCCCCAAATGAGCTGTTGACATGAACACCAGCCCAACATGACTGAAAGACAGGAACAAAAAAAAAACCACA